ATCTGATCTGGAAATCACAAGGGTCATGGTTGCATGCCCTCCTGGCAATAATAGATAATAGCCTCTGACACTGTAGATGTACCTATGCATCTGCTTCATCAAGCACATTGAGGATATCATTTCATTTATCATTCTAGGTGCTTGAACAATGAAGGAAATGAGTCTCAGAAAAACCTGAGTTGTCCAAAATCAGAACCTAAGATATAATTGAATTGAAATGAAAACACAGGACTTTGAACCCTAAGCTCAGCCTTCATAGAAGTCCTTCCATTTTCCCCTTCTGGAACTTATCTCTAGAGGACACAGATTTTTGCTCATGAATATATGTTTAGTAAAGGATTCTTGAGTAGCCATTCTTCTATGGTGAGGATCTTGAGAAATATGAAAAGTGTGTAACTTTAGTAGTACACACTTACAAGTATTGTCTTCTGCCTTAAATTTTGAATTTTTCTGGGCAGTTTGGAGATTGTGGGTACATAAGTAAAGCTTAGAATTGTAAATGCATTTAATAAAATTGATGATTGGCTGAAACTATTTTAGCCAGTAAGGAGTTATAGTCAACTTAATAAAGGTGACCAAGGAGTGGGGGAGGTCATTTTCCTTTTTTCTTATAATAAAAAGTGATTTAATGATGCAGTGTGACTGAGAGATAATCCATGTGTCCATTCAACAAGTATTTGTTGAGCAACTCACTGTGGGCCAGTCAGAGCTAAGTATTTTACATAAATTATCTCATAATAATTTTAATAACAGCTCTAAGACATTGGTATTATTAACTCTACTACAAGATAATGAAACTAGAGGTAAGGAGATTAAGTAATTTAATCAAGGTTACATATTTTTTTAAGGAGTAGAACTAATCCTAAAGCTCACTTGTAATAAATTATGCTATACTGTGAAAAATACTTGTTTTATTAATTATTTTTAGACTCATGGATTTGAAAAGCATTAGTTCTTTAGAGAATAACAAAAGGTGGTCAAATATCTACATCTTCAAAGCATAAAATTCTATGTGATCTTATTAATGAATATAATAAAAAATAATTTTTAAAAACCTAATGTTAGAGATAGGCACATACTTTTGAATGAAATGGCTTCCTATGTCTGATAATGTTTTTGTCAAATGATTAATTCATTTTATATTTTTCAGAAAGTCAAAACACCTGTTGTTTAATAAGAGACATTGGAATGTGCCATAACTGTTACTTTGTGTCTATTTCCAGGCAATCAATCCAAGTTATATGTGACAAAATGGAAATATGTTGTAAAACTTTGTAGATTTACCTCCCCAACTGTTATTTATTTGACTTCTTTGTTCATTTGAAATGTTTTACATATACAACTTATAATTTTCACATTGGGAAAAAAAAAATAAGTCCACTGGTTACTATAAAAGGTCACCTTTCTAATTGATGTAATAAAGCCCAGCTGGTGAGCCAATCTCTGGACTAACTCGGGGCTAGCACAGCAGTGGCACAGTGAATTATATATTAGGTAAGAGGGAAGTGATTTTAGCATATGTCCTTTATTTCCCATATTTGTGACTGCCAGTCATCAATATCTAATTGTATTTAAGGTAAAGCATCGTTAAATGTTCAAGTGATTTATACTGCAAACTGTTTCCTCATGCTAAACATAAAAGGGTAGACTTATCATGATGCATATAAAAAGGGAAGTAACCGATTCTTTGGTCTGAATTTTCCTCTTGGTTAATAGATTTCCCCTTTAGCAACAACAAGGCACAATAATAAGGAAGCGTACGAGATAACTAAGTACAGCTAGCTTTGGCACTGCCATTCACTGAAAGCTTATCTAGCATTTCCAGCACTCTTCATGAATGCTCCTTCTGCTCTGTGTTTAGAATAATAAAATCTCATAGCTCCCTAAATGTTAACTTCATCTTGTAGAAAAAAATAGATATAAATTTTCCATAGTGCATAATTCTCTATTTTGTTTCTTGACATTTAAGAAAATTGTTATAAGGATATCAATTTTGAGATACACATACTGCCTACTTTTAAATTGTGATAATGCTTAACGATTATAAATATAATTCAGGATCCATACAAAAACCATCAAGGACTTTTACAGCCATAATATGTTTTTAAAATGCCTAAAGGAAACCTGGTGATTTTGCAACCTTTATAATATTGCCAAAGTGTTTGGACATGATCAAAAATGCTCTAAGATGACATTATGATCTTCAGAGGCAAAAGTTTGATTTTTTGTTTTGTTTTGTTTTTGAAGCCTTTTTACTATTCCAATGCTATACACAAAATGAGTATGTATATAAAAACATTGACAGTCTAAGAAAACTACAAACAAATATAAACTCAAATGGAGGTATTAGGGCAGTCCTTCAGACAAAATTTCTTTCATTTATTGTATATTGGCTGTTCTGTTTTTGTGACAATTTATACAAAGCTACATGCTGCATCCCATCACCAGCATTGAATAGAAGTCTAGTTCACTGTATTATTGGTATGAAAAGTAGACACTAAAAGATTAATTTCCCGATTATTTTATTCTTTTGAATAGCTCAGTTATAATTGTTTTCCATTTCTCTATCTCTTACTCAAAATGAAAAAGTATATTTTATTTACTAAATAAGTGGTATCTCTATTCCAAGTTATTTTCCACACCAGCTTTGTTTTTAATATAATAGAATGCCAGTGCAAAGAAGACCAGATAGGCTACTTTCCAAAATATCCATATTACTGGAATGTGATGCTCAATGTGGTCACAGAAGGAAGAGAAGGAGATCTTTTTTAATAAACATTGATTTTGTTTTTATCTGGATAGTAAAATTTTCATGACAAAAAGTCATCTTTGAACTTTTTAATAATTATTCTTATCGTGTATTTTTATAATTAAATATAATTTAAAATTATATAATACCTCTTAAAATTGTATTTTACCATCTTCCTAATACATCAAGATTCTAAAGTGATATCTCTAAATGTTGCAACAATAGTAGCGGGAAATTTCAAAAAGTATTTTTCTTTATGGAAGAGGTCCTGTAAGTTATTGCTATTTAATTAAATGCAAATAGAAAGTACTTTTAAGTATCAAGAACTGTAGTATATCCTTAGATGAATGAAAAACAGCACTATTCCAAATGGAATCAAAGTATATTCTAGTTATTCTAGTCACTCGCAACCATAATATTTTATGATATGTACGTAACACCTTATGCTAAGTTATAACATCTTACATCTACAATGAATATCTATGGAAAAGTGATTGGAAATTCATCTGTGAGATATTCAAGGATACTATAAAAACAGATTCGTGTTCTGTATTTCTTGGCAAGCAGCGCAAGCTCAGGCAATAATATGGAGAAGGCAGTTGATCTTTGCTCACAATCCCTGTTGTATCTTCATTCACTCATACTGCTTCCCATATATTCATTGACTTTTCCATTGAATGATTAAAATATCCATTTGTATATATCACCCCCACATATGCATTTATAGTGTAATCATACAAGACTGTGCTGTGTTATACTATAGAATAACAAATATGAGACTTGGTGTTTTTACAAATATTTTTTTAATGTTGGGCTGTAGAATAATGATTATATTATTTTCATCACAAGTAAAAATTACATAATATTCTGGTGGATTTCCTAAGGAAAAAAATCAATGGCAGAGAACTCACTGATACATGCCCTGGACTGCATGTACAGAATGGACCGTTCTTTGAAGGGGGAAGGGTCATATCTCCCTCCATTTCCATGAGCTACCTTCTTAAGTCAGATCTTGCTACCTCTTCCTTCCACCTATATGAGACCCAAGAGAAGGTCATTTATGTTCAAGAAGTGTGATACACATATTTACCTCTATGCAACATGTGTCTAAAATCATTTCTATGCCATTTAATTTTTCAAAAGTTTTTTAAAAATACGCTTTGTTTTACCAGAAAATGCCACACCTATAAATTTCATGCTCTTATCAGTAGTAGAAATAGCAAAAGGGTTAAAAATAGTAGAGCAAATCTAACTCTAGTTCTGAAAACTTCCATTCCCATAATTATGCAATTCCCAAATCAGTATTACGGTTAAAATGAGATTGCATTTTTCATGAATATAATCATTTATGTAAATTAGAATTATCCAAATCAACAGATCTTAAGACATGTCCTAAAATATATCATGACAATAGACATATCTTATAAAACTATACGGAATGAGGAGGGGAATGAGTATAAAGGAGAAAAGGAGAAAAAGGAAGGAATGTACTGGATTAATTCCTTTGGTAGCAGTTGCCACATGAGAAATTTCTTCCCTAATTGCTACATTTATGCTTAGAACTTGTGACAGTCAGAATCTGATGGTTTTATTGACTCTACAAGTAGGCTGGACAACTATACATACTTAATCAACTTTATTATTCATGTTGGGTCCTGTAGAGTAGCAGAAAGATCAGTGGCTTCAGAGGCAGAAAGCCTTGTATTCAAAACCCAGTTCTCTGTTTAGTTTAGATCATTAAATTTTATGAATTACAATTTTACCCTCCATAAAATATTAATAATAAAAATTCCTCAGTTATCTGTTGCTAAATAATGTTTGTGAAATGCTTAGCCCTATGCTTAGTACAAAGAAATTTCTACTAAAAACTCCTATATTATCATGGTTGTTGTCTTGGTCACTATGTAGTCATCTTCACTATTCACTGTATTTATGTTCTATAAAGTCACTGCAAACACTGAATCAGTGAATATTCACATATTTCTCTAAGGGCAAATACTAGGTTAGGTTCCTGTAGCCTCTGGTCAAATTTTTTAACATCCAAAATTCCATTTGCATTATATAACTTCATTTGCCAACATCCTTGTGAAGCAAGCCAGTCTTATCAATGTTGAAACATGCCTTCTTTCACATATACCTATTGTGGATAACACTTAAAAGGTATACTCTACCTACATTATTCATGATTTTCAAATTTTTAAACTTGCCTACTCACTAAAACCTATTCATAACCTCAAAACCAATAATCACAGAGCTTGCTTCGGCAGCACATACACTAAAATTGGACTGATACAGACTAAATTAGTATGGCCCCTGCACGAGGATGACACACAACTTCACAAAGCGTTCCCTATTTTTCACGCCTGAGTTGCAGGCTCGTGCTGGATCAGGACTCCTGCAGGAGGCAGCCCATTGATGTCTCTCTCTCACTCTCTCTCCCCCCCACCCCTTTCCTCTCTCTAAATATATCCTTGGGTGAAGATTTTTAAAAAGTCAGTAATCACAGATCATTCCCTACCATTTGAGGACATACAAAGAGGGGTGAAACACTTGTATTATGTGATATGCACATTCCAAAATAAGGTTGAACAAAGTGAACACTCTGCCTTCTTCTTTCAGCTCTTGTACAGTAAACAAATGCCTTTTTGCTGTTTATTGTTATGTGTTCTGCATTTTTGTGTTTTTGGGTTTTGTGTGTGTGTGTATAATTTCGCTATTCAAGACGCCACCCAAACACAGAGCTGAAGTGTTGTCTGGTGTTCCTAAACACAAGGAAATGATGATGTGCCTTCTGGAGAAAAAGCCTGTTAGAGTCTTCCTTTTGACTGCATGTTTGTGTCTGCTCTAGGCATGTATTTTATCTGGTCCAGTCAGAACCCTAGGAAAATCCATACAAGTTCATGCTACTCTTGGAAATACACAAGAATTTGAGAAAATTTGAATCATAGCAAAAAAATTAAGATACCAAGGAATAAACTTAACCAAAGAAGTAAAGGACCTCTTCACAGAAAACTACAGGTCACTGAAAAAAGAAATAGAGGAAGACATAAAAAAGTGGAAGCATATACCTTGTTCATGGATTGGAAGAATTAACAATATTAAAATGCCCATACTACCCAAAGCAATCTATAGATTCAATGCAATCCCCATCAAAATACCAATGACATACTTCACAGAACTAGAACAAACACTCCAAAAGTTTATATGGAACCAAAAAAAGACCCTGAATAGCCACAGCAATCTCGAAAAAGAAGAACAAACTAGGAGGGATCACATTACCAGATTTCAGTTTATACTACAAAGCCACTATATTCAAAACAGCCTCGTACTGGCACAAGAACAGGCATATAGACCAGTGGAACAAAACAGAGAACCCAGATATGGACCCAAGACAATATGCTCAATTAATATTTGACAAAGGTGGAAAGAGCATACAGTGGAGTAAAGAGAGCCTCTTTAATAAATGGTGTTGGGAAAATTGGACAGCTACTTGCGAAAAAATAAACCTAGAACACCAACTTACACTATACACAAGAATAAACTCAAAATGGATAAAAGATTTAAATGTAACTCATGAAATCATAAAAATTCTAGAAGAAAATGTAGGCAACAAAATCTCAGACTTCATACACAACAGAATTTTCACTGATACATCACCTAAGGCAACAGAAACAAAGGAGAAAATGAACACATGGGACTATATCAAACTTAAAATTTCTGCACAATAAAAGAAACAACCATCAAAATGAAATCTCACTATATGGGAGACCATAATCACCAATGATGCATCAGATAAGGGGTTAATTTCCAAAATATATAGAGTGCTCATACAACTCAACAAAAGGAAGACAAAGAACCCAATTAAAAGATGGGAAGAGGACCTAAATAGACACCTCTCCAAAAAGGACATACAAATGGCCAAGAGACATATGAAGAAATGTTCAACATCACTAATCATCAGAGCTGCAAATTAAAACAACTATGAGGTAACACCTCACACTTGTCAGAATGTCCACCGTCCTCAAATCATCAAACAACAAGTGTTGGCGAGGGTGTGGAGAAAAGGGGACTCTAGTACACCGCTGGTGGGAATGCAGCCAGTTTGGAAAACACTATGGTGTTACCTCAAAAAGTTAAAAATTGAACTGCCATTTGACCCAGTGATCCCAATTTCACAAATATACCCTAAGAAGCCTGAAACACCAATCAGAAAGAATATATGTACCCCTATGTCATAGTAGCACTATTTAAAATAGCTATGATCTGGAAACAACCCAATTGTCCATCAGTAGATAAGTGGATAAAAAAGCTGTGGTACATGTACACAATGGAATACTATGCAGCTGTAAGAAAGAAAGATCTCTTATCCTTTGATATGGCATGGAAATACCTGGAGAGTATTATGCTAAGTGAAACAGGCCAAGCAGAGAAAGACAAATATCACATGATCTCACTTATTTGTGAAATATAGTGAACTAAACAAATTGCTGAACAAAACCCAGAGACATAGAGGTGGGGTACAGACTGACAAGCCTCAGAGGAGGGGGAGGTTGGAGGGGGGAAAGATAAACCACAAAATGGTTACATGCATGTATGCATGACCAATGAACATAGACAACAAAGCTGGTGACGGTGCAGGGGGTAAGGGGAGGAGGGTGTCAAGGGAGGAAAAATGAGAAACATGTAACAAAAACGAATTAATAAATAAAAATAAAAAAATAAAATAAAAAGAAGTTAGCTGTGTGTTAGTGTGTAAGAGATTGTGGTAATCACCTTGTTCAACATTCTGTTTCTATGTCATCACTAATATATAAGCCTTATTTTTACTTAAATATCTTTATTAATATGAAAGTCTTTCTTAAAAGTGAGTCCATTCTGTTTTCAATTACCTACATATATTTAAAGCTATTTTAAAAATTAATTGAAAAATATTTTTGCCAACCATTGAGCTCAATTTAATTTTTATAGAGAAAATACAGCCTTGTCCTTTCTGGTTATCTGACAGTTCTTCCCTTCATATGGTAGAAGCTTCCATATGCCCTCCATTTTACTCCCAGACTATGTTAATTACTGGAAATAAAAGTGAAACAGAATTTAACAACTTTTATAAATTTAACAGAGTTATAGAAATCTTAATAGTTGTAATTGCCACTAGAATCTATAATACATATTAGATTTCAGTAATAAACCATAATATTTATCAAACTTTTATTTGTAAAACAATTTGAACAAGATTATTTAAAATTTTTTTATAAACATCAATTTATATACTACAAGACTGATGCATACATTAAAATTTGAGTCCATGAAGGAACATTAAAAATAATTAACCTCACAATGGCATGAAAAAAGAAAAGGAAGGAAGGAAGGAAGGAAGGAAGGAAGGAAGGAAGGAAGGGAGGGAGGGAGGGAGGGAGGGAGGGAGGGAGGGAGGGAAAGATGAGAAAAAAAGGAAGGAGGGAGGGTGGGAGAAATAGAAGGGAAAAGAAAGAAACTCTAAAAGGTATCTTTCAAAGTGGGAAAACTATGCAACATATTTTACAAGGGTGGATAGACATAATATATAAAGAGCTTAATACGTAAATACTCCCTCCACACAAATAAAAAAAGATAGAAAAATTATTAAGGTTAGCAGCCTCTAAAATGGCACCAATAATCCCACCTTCTGTTATTTATGCCCTTGTATAATCCTTTCCCCTTGAGTGTGAACTGTACTTAATGACTCTCTTCTAATGAATAAAATATAGCAAAAGTGATAGATGTCACTTCCAAGTTAGATTAGAAAAAGTTAATGGCTTCCGTCTTAGGCACTTTCACTCTCTAACTCACCCTGGAGGAAGCCAACTACCATGAGAGGAAGCAACAATGTGGAGATCACACATGAAAAAGACCAAGGCCTGACAACACATGAGTGAGCTTGGGTGGGGATCACAGTTAAGTCTTCAGATTAAACTGTAGTGAAAATTTGACTGCAACCTTACTAGAGACCTCAAGCTCATATACCTTGTTCCTAAAATTTTGATTTATAGAAACTCTGAAATAGTACTTGCTTTTCTATCTGTTGAATTGGGGAATAAGTTGTTACACAACAGTAGATAAGTAATATAAGGTATGAAAAAGTGATTTACCAAAAAATATAACTCAGGAATGGTTTATGAAAATATGTTCAACTTTATTAGTAATTTAATGAAAACAAATTAGAACATCAATGACCACTATTATACCTCAAATTGAATAGATAGAATAATTTAAAATTTGTATTTATTGGGTTCCTAAAATAAATAGTGAGCATTTGGGTTTATGTGTGTTTCTGCAGGTGTATTTTAAAGATAAAAAAATTGGAAATGCTAATTTAATAATTTACCTAAAGAGAAGAGGACTACATGTGTACATGCATGTGGATGTGTATTTGTGTTGGGGATTGTGCTGTAGCATCAGTGCACCCGTCTCACAAAAGTAACTTAGAAGTATTTCGGGATTTATTCATTACACCATATATCACTTTGGATTCTATCTGTTCCATGAGGTAGTTAAAAATAAAAAATTAAAAGTCTTGGTTTTGAGCTGCATACCTACCACTATTTCGTTTTACAAACCAGTATACAAAAATTTTTCTGAGCTTTAGTTTCTTTTTTTTGGTTAACATATCCACAATCTTCTGCACAATTTGTAAAAATGATTAAGATAATACATGTGAAAATACATTGTAAATAGCAAGGTGGTATGTATACATAAGATGCTGTTATCTTGTAAATTCTCCAAATTATTGATGGATCTAGGATGAAACCATAATCAGTGAAGGAAAACTACTTGATTTTGCCCTCCATTGAGTTCTAACATTAGTCAATTACTGTTCGGAGTGATTCTAATTTTGAGTGAGCAGAGAACTCTACAGTTCATTAAAGCAACATGACCACAGAATCCTAGTCTCCCGCAATAAGCCTCACCCTACATGGGTTATTTTAGAGATTTATCCTAGAGACAAATGTAGTAAATTATAATTTTTAAAGGATAGTCACGTACAGATGCATATTTGATCTTCACCACAATCCTGGTAAAGGCAAGAACCATTTTTATTTGGCAAGAGAAGTAATTAAGATTAAGTTGCCCAATGTCATATTCCCATAAAATAGTTAGAACTCAAAATGATGAATTCTAGGACAGTGTTCTTTGCTGTGTTTTTTACAATAGTGCTTGTAATTATGAATAAGTGAAAGCAAGTCTATGTCCAAGTATAGTGAATTGAGTAAATAAGTAATGATACATCAATAAAATTGGATACTATTTAGCCATCCAAAATGATAATAAAGAATGACACAGTCAATCACAGGTTAGGTACATTCATAAATATTTTATGG